CATTCTTCTGACAGAACAGATAACCTCTCATTACATGACCAAGTAAAATCCCAGTCTTCCCAGTGAGGTGAAAGGAAAGAGACTGGAAAAATAATTTTAACAAAGTTTTCTAAGTAAAACACCAAAACACAGAATAATTCATAGACTTTTTTTAAAGCTGGAAATAATGTATGTTCTGATTATAGCTCACCGTGGTTGCTTCTGAGTCTGGTTTTTCCTTGATTTTCTAAAGGAGAATAGCCAAGCAAAAGGTGATCTGAACCCCAGAAAGGAAGCTGAAGTGTTCTTTTGTGCTTGAGGATTTGTGCAGGATGACATTTTAAATTCTTTATGATCTAAAAATATTACAAAAATTCGATTTGTTTCAAGTTCTTACTAAATACAGTATTAAAATATACATAAAAAGTTATGTCTTCATAAACAAATTTCTTTTGCTTACTTTTTATGCCAGGAAAATCCAGTTTTATTAACTTTTTTGGACAGACTATGTGACATGCTGGTTTATAATTACTAACTAGAAGACTAAGAGCAAGACAAACAGGTCTAAACTTTCAAAAAGTATTATTGGTTTTGGGTGATGCACGTGAGATAAATGACGCTGATTTTCAGAAAGTAATCAGCACTCAACCAATTGAAAACTGCAACTGTTTTAAAATACAGGCAAATTAGACATTTGAAAGCTGAGGCACCCACAATCATTAGTCACTTTCTTTTCACCTCTTTAAGAAATACAAATATGACAACCCTGAATATACAATGGTTTAATAGACTGTAATGTAACTATATAACAGTAATTCAGACTAAGATGTCTTCCGTATCATACTATTCTTGATGATGGGATTCCCATGGCCACTGGAGTACATTTTTTCTGCTACAAAAACTGCATATCAGAACTGTATTTTAAGTGCAAGATATCATGAGTGCTTTCTTTGGGAAGGTTATGATTTGATTTCTTCAAATGGAACATAAATGCAGTTTGCCTGTAAAAGCAGCTGGCAATTGGTGTGAAGGAGAGGATGAGTATTGCTCATAGTTTAGGAAAGAAATTGCAGGGTCTGCTATTAAAACATGCCACAGGAAACCGGAGGACGTACGGAAACAAGACTTCACTCAGGAATAAGGCACTGCATCTTTTTTTTCCCTCATTTAAAACATCACATGCCTGAAGCAATAAAACAGCCTGAAAATGGCTTATCCAATGACTGTAGGAGAAAGCAAAGCCAGAGATGAGAGCAAAGTGTCACTGATAACAACAGCTAGGGGCAGCATTTCGGACCTAGTCCAAAATGAAGTGAATAATTAATGTCATGTGATTTAAATCCTGTGTGTAACGCATGGGTTTCACTTCCGTGACAATCGCTGTGTATTACAAAATGCTGCATCCTTTACCCCTTCCAGAGCCTAATGTCTTGGTGGCATTGTTTGACATGACAATGAAGGTGACATCGGGAGAGTCCTAACAGCACTCTGCCGTAGCCAGGATGGTCTAGGGATGTAGACAAAGCAAAGCTTGCAGGTAGATGTAGTACCTTTTATTAACCCAACCTATACAGTTGGAAATATCAGACAAGACTCTGAGGCACACAACCTCTTCTTCAGATCTGAAACAGAAACAGCAGCTTTCAGAGTTAAATACTAGAGAAGAATTACACAGAGTTTAGTTGGCCAATGCATCAATTAGACCACCTCAGAAAAACAGTAGATAACTGTGGACTAGAGGGGGTGTTGGGGAAAAATGGTCAGGAAAGAGAAAGATCTGTTCTTTGTAGGTCAGTAGTTTCAGGAAAATTTTTAGGGTTTCACTTTTCTTTTGAAATACATGAGACTGCTTCCAGTTGCTATGAAGCACAAACAGGTAGAGCTCAATGAAAAACATGCAGAAACGTGAATGGAATGAAAGCACGTACTATGCATGAAAATTATCTGGATGGAAGATGAAAAAGAAAGTACAGAATACCATGCTTGGAATAGAGACACCATATTTCTTGTGCATGGGCATACATGGGCAACAGGACCTGTGAAACCAGATCTCTAGAAGTTGCTTCTCGGTCAGTCCAACTTTCCAGGCTTTGTCACCCGCCCTGATAATCAGCACTGGCATGCCTTTAGCCCAGTGTTACCAGGAAAAGTTTTCCACTGGTACAGTCAAACCTCACTCACCCAAACCCAGATTACCTACCTATTCCCAATGTCTTTTAGGTGCTTCTAGTTTCTTTAAGAAAACTAGAGAAAACTGAAACAGTTTTTGTACAAAGCAAACATAACTGCTTTGACTGGGAAACCACCACTATATTTACTATAATTACAGCAACTTCATCTTGACTAAGAAATTTTTTACAGTGAGGACAATCAATCACTGGAACAACCTCCCCAGGGACGTGGTGGAGTCCCCATTGCTGGAGGTTTACAAGATGCGACTGGACAGGATGCTACGTAACCTCATCCAGGCTCCCTTTTCCACTGAAGGCTGGGCCAGATGATCTTCCGATGTCCTTCCAACCTGGGTGGTTCTACGGTTCTAGCTATGGGATATCAGGAGTTTTCTGTTGTGACTCCCAGCTGTGCTTTTAACAGAAGCTGCTTAAAGAAACACAGTCATTTTGAAAGTATATCTCTGGTAAAACTTTGACATAAGAAGAAACTCAACGCAATTTCAGAAACTCTTTAGCTACTACACTCTGAAATACTCTAAGACATTGGTTTGTTGACCATTATAACATAGATAAGTAAATGAAAAAATGCAACTCACTGGTGTTTTTGCTCTTCCTTAGCTGATGCTCTAATGGTGGTTTTAGCATTCTATTGACATCAATGTATGTCGGAAATTTTTTTCTTTGTATTTCTTTGAACCATTCTCCAGTTGCTCCCTGCAGCCCTGTTTCAGACTTTTTTATCTTCAGAAGTTTGCTAGAAAGGGAAAAAAAACATTCCAATTTATTTTGAGCCATTTTAGATATTACAGGCACGTCATTAGGAACTCTCCCTGTTGTTCATTTAAGTATTTACAGTACATTTCTCAATATAATGACTTTTGAAAAGATACAGTGGGACATCATACATTCACAGCAATCACACAGAAGTTTTAGTGACAACAGAATTCTCCATCTTAACAATGAGATTACGTGACCAGGTTAAGTGGATGACACATATGCTTGCATTATTCTCTGCCTTGAAGAAATGAATCCTTTTTCCTTGCAAAATTGAGGTAATAATTCATAAGCACTACAAAACTAATTGAAAGTAAGATTAAGTTCAGCCAATAATTGAATTAGAATAAATAATTTTCTAACAAAAGAATTATTTAAATATTTTTTCTCTCATTTAAGCAGAAGCAATGACAAGATTATTCTGAGGCCTTGACAGTGAAGTGCCCCACCACACATTTTCTTTGTAAAGGAGATTAATAAATAGTGAATTCAGCTAATAGGTATTCATTCAACGTGTTCAACGAGTTTATCACATTTTCCTAGTTCCTTGCTGCATAGTGATTCTGCCTGTGTTTAATATGTATGGGAGCAACTAATAATGAATATGAATGTTCCACCACACAGAGGTGAAGGCTGAATAAGCTACACACACGCAGCTGCAACTGAAGAAGCTGTTTAGTAGCAAGTTCAGGTTTTACACCAAGAGGTCACAGGAATGAATTGTTTATCTGGACATAAAAGAAAAAGGTACAGTTGCAAAGGAGTTGGAATAGTGCAACGGACACGCAGAGTTACTTGTTTTCAAATGACAAATTGAGGAGCTACTGCAGAGACTACAGTGGAGGGCTACGAAGATGATGAGGGGACTGGAGCATCTCTCCTACGAGGAAAGGCTGAGGGAGCTGGGCTTGTTCAGCCTGAAGAAGAGAAGGCTGCGAGGGGACCTTATAAATGCCTATAAATATCTGAAGGGTGGGTGTCAGGAGGATGGGGCCAGACTCTGCTCAGTGGTGCCCAGTGACAGGACAAGGGACAACAGGCACAAAATGAAGCATAGGAAGTTCCAGCTGAACATGAGGAAGAACTTCTTCCCTCTGAGGGTGACGGAGCACTGGAACAGGCTGCCCAGGGAGGTTGTGGA